TGATATATATCAACCTATCATCCTCTCAAACTTCTCAACCTCTCCAACCTCTTCAATTCAGTCCAGCGGCTTCGTATTTATAAAGAATGAGCTGCAGATCAAAATATCTGCAGAAATAGACAGTTAGTAGATATTTACATAATCTACTTTGAAAAGTCAAGAGGCCCGACCGGGCATTGATACCCACGGCCGACCATCACTGAGGCATGGCTGGGCCTCAGTGTATTTTCACTGTTCTACACTTTCAGGTTCAATGCAGGTTGGTACAATGTTCAAAATTGAGTTTCTGGGATAGAAATACAGTGGATATGACAAGTTGGGATTGTTCAGAGCTTGAAATCGGATTTCTTTGTTGAGAATTCAAACCATTTGCACAACGTAACCTTTATCATCGAGTATTTGGAATCAAGCGCCTAAGTCTTACGAGTGGTCAAAATTGGGGTGTCTACAATATGACATTAAATAAAGTGAATTGTACATTTCATGATTCAATATGATTCACGATTCACTATTCACTATTTTAGCAAAACGATTCACAATTTGACAACAATGCTTATAAGATAAGCATACTTTATTTTTCAACACTACAACATTTCCACACACTTTCATACTGAAGTATTTTCTCAACTCATTTCGCATATTCAACTTCAATTAAAAATAATGCCCAATTAGTACACATTAATGTGTGTTTGGGAGTGGAAAGATTTAGTACGCACTTAACCTTTGGCATAGTGTACAAAGTAATTGCCCCGTGACTTGAACCCATAACCTCAAGATTATTCGGCAAAATTTTACTATTGAACCAATAGTCACCTCCTATATTCAACTTTCAATTGTTAGGCAAAATTACCATAATATCCATTTTGTCAAGACAACTATTATGCTCTAAGGCCCCGTTTGTTTTTAGAGGTAGAATACATGGGATTGATAGTGAAGGGATTAATAGTGAGGGGATTAGTAAAATTGTGTTTGTTTTGGTAATAGTTGTTAATGTGGTGATTGTTAAATTATTTGTAATAAAATAATAAAACAAATAAAATTATGATTTTTACTCCACAAAAAATATAAAAACATTAAACATTAATATAAAAAAAAATGCCTAAAAAAAAAAATTTGCAGTTGATCGGCCGGACGACTGGTCAGACTTCCAGCAACACTCTAAGCCAAACGTACTAACTTCTAATACCACCTCCTCGCCCAGACTAACAATCCGCTCGCCCAAGGCCTTTCACAATCCGAATGGACTACCAATCTGGAGCACCATAAACAAAACAAACATGATATATGGTTACTGTTCATCATTGTTTGTCCGCTCTAGACTACTACAATGGCAAACAAACGGACCCTAAGGGTTAAATCATCAATTTGACCGTGTGCTCAAATTATCAAATTAACTAGTGTTAAAATGACCATTTTACCCTATGCCCCAAATTACCATTTTAGTTTTAGTGGTGGTCAAAATCACCGTTTTAGCCCCCCAATATTCCAAATTAATACTTAAACATAATGAACATACTTCTAAGCAACTAGGGCATAAAATAGGATTAAAAATACACAAACTAGTCAAACTAGCAAGTTAATTCAACTTAAAAAATTCATAATAAATCCAAAACAACTTCAAATTGTTGCATCTTTCAAATATCACTACATTGAATTACTAGCTATCCAAAAATTATATTTTCTCCATTTTATCTACACTTAACCATTTTTCCATTTTTTCAAGGTTGGCCAAAATTTACAACAAATATACTGAAGTGCTTGTAAACATTGTGCTAAGAGTATTGAGGAATACTCTCAACCATCTCAGCTTAAGCCACAACACTCCTCGCTCAAGCCACAAGAGAAGCCATCACAAACAAAATATCTTCCTCAGCTCATGCATGTGCAAGATATTAAAGACAGTTATGATAGATACGGTTATGAGAGTAGAGTGAGTTAGTTAGGTTGATTGTAACAAACTCAGTGACACTTCATTGAGTATAAATATCTGTAAGACTTCATTGTATTCTAATAAGAAAGATATTCTTCAATTTTTGTTATGGTATCAAAGCCTTTCTTCTCCAACGAGTAAAGGTCCTTCAATGGCACATTCATCTTCAAGTACATCTTCATTCATCTTACCATCAAATCTGAATCTTCTTCTGTCAAATTTTAATTCTGTCATCATAGTCAAGTTAGATTCTACTAACTTTCTTATCTGGAAAAATCAAATCCAAAATGTTCTTCGTGCTACTAATTTTCTTGGATTTGTTACTGGATCAATCTCATCTCCAGATCCAAAAGTGCTTTATTCTTCAGGAAAATCTATTCCAAATCCCGAGTTTGAGAATAGGAAGATCATTGATGCTCACCTGCTTAGCTTTCTCACTGCTACTCTTTCTCCACCTATATTTTCATTTGTTCTTCATCTTCAACATTGTTCACAGGTTTGGATTGCCTTGGAAAAGAGATATACATCTTTATCTCGATCCCATATCCATCAATTAAAGAATAAGTTGCAGTCAATGTCCAAAAGAGGTTTATCAATGGAAGTGTATCTCTCACATATCAAAACCATAACTAATCAACTCAGTCTTGCCTCTTCCATCATTGATGATAAAGATCTGGTTCTTTTAACCTCGCATGGTTTACCAGATGAGTATGATGCTTTAAAAACAACAATTTGTGCTAGAGTTGAGCCAATTACTATGGAAGAGTTGAGTTCTCTTCTATGTTCAGAGTCCATTCACATGGAGAATAGGACAAAATCTTCTCTCAACATTGACTCCACTGTTGCCTACTCTGCAACTAGAAATTCTGAGACTAATTCTTTAGGATCTAGAGGCTCAAATTATAAGGGCTGCAGTACTTTTCGTGGCAGAGGAGGCAGATACAAAGGCAATAGGTCTCTATGAGAGGTGCTGGAGGCAGACAAGGACATGGACAATTCACTTAAGGAAATTACTCTTCTACCTTTTGTCAAATCTGTGGAGGTCACAGTCACATTGCCCTTGACCATTGGTTCATAATGGATCCAAATTATTCATCCTCTGGCATATCACAGTCCACAGCTTATTCTGTAGTTCAATCTCCAACTTCTTCATCTGGTCCAATATCTCCTTCATCTGGTTCTTCCCCACGATGGTATGTGGATTTTGTAATAACCAGATACATTACCAATGATCTAGGCAATTTTCATCTCTATCAGCCCTATCCAGGGACCGGTCACGTTACAGTTGGCAATGGCTAGACATTGCCTATTCAACATGTTGGTAAAGGTATTTTACCAACTCCACAATCTTCTTTGCACCTTCAAGATATGCTTCATTTGCCACAAATTTCATTTAATCTATTATCTGTGCGTAAGTTGGCTCAAGATAATAATTGTTCTGTGATTTTTTATGCTAACTCTTTTCTTATTCAGGACAATCTTACGAAACAGGTGCTCTATAGAGGTCCTAATATTCATGGCTTATATCAGTTTACTTCTTCATCTACTACTCCTTGCTCACAAGCTTATTACACTTCTTCCCGGTCTAAGGTGTCTTTGGATACTTGGTGTCAAAGATTCTGCCATCTATCACCCTTAAGGTTTCATCACATAGCTAAACATTTGCCTGTTAGCTTTTCAAATAAATGTGATGTTTGTTCTTGTACTCCTTGCAATGTTGCTAAGATTCACAAACTTCCTTTTAAGCTTTCTACATTAACTGTCTTTCAACCTTTTTCTCTTGTGCACAGTGATGTATGGGGACCATTTCATGCTTCCAAGAATGGTTATCAATATTACCTTTTGTTTGTAGATGACTTCACTAGATTTACATGGATTTATCATTTATTTGTTAAACGTGAAGTTTACTCTACATTTGTTCATTTCAAGACTTATGCTGAGAATCAATTCAATCTCTCACTCAAAATTTTTCGCACAGATAATGGTACTGAGTTTGGGAATCACAAAATGCATGATTATTTTGCCTCTCATGGTATCATTCACCAACTTGGTTGTCCATATACTCCTGAATAGAATGGCATTGCAGAAAGAAAACATCAACTTATCACTCAAACTGCTATTGCTTTGTTGTCTCAATCTTCTGTCCCTCTTGAGTATTGGTTTGAGGCCATGGCTACTTCTGTGTTTCTCATTAATAGGATGCGAAGTCTATTTCTAGGTCATTCCTCTCCTTATCAATTACTGTTTAAGCCCATTCTTGATTACATTTTTCTCAATGTCTTTGGTTGCCAATGTTTCCTTTGGCTCAGGCCTTACAATTCCAATAAACTTCAACCAAGATCCACTCCTTGTGTCTTCTTAGGATATCATCCTTCCACTAAGGGCTACAGATGCTTGGATCCCAATACTGGCAAATTTTTCCTCTATAGACATGTCTTGTTCAATGAGAGTAGTGTTCCTTTTGCTCACACCACTGTAGTCCCTCCTACTTTACCTACCATTTCTTCTTTCTTTTGGTCATCTGCCCCCTCTACTGCTCAGTCTACTGCTCCTCAGCTTTTTCCTGCTCCTCAATCCAGACCTGCAGTGTCCCTATCCACTACTACTCCTATAGCTCTTTAGCCTACTCTTGCTCCATCTACATCTACTATACTTCCAACTCCTGCACATCCTCCTACTGCCCTACCCTGTGCAGCTTTTCCTATTGCTGCTCAGTCAAATGTAGCTCCACCTTCGGCTATATTACCATCTCCTACTTCAACCCCTGCAGTTGCCTCTATACTCATTCACTCTATTTCTATTGATCTTCCTTTTTCTTCCTAATCTATTTCTAATGTTCATCCTATGCTCACTAGGTCCAAAACTACAACTCTTCTTACTTACACTCCTGATCTTACCCATACAGAACTTGCCACCACTAAGCTAGCTCTTTACTCTCCTATTTGGTTTCAGGTTATGTTTGAAGAAATTCAAGCTCTCCATCATCAAGGCACTTGGTCTTTAGTGCCCCTTCCTTCTCAAAAGCTCTCTATTGGCTATAAATGGGTTTTCCGAATAAAAAAGAACTCAGATGGCTCTGTTGCTCGCTACAAAACTAGACTTGTTGCCAAGGGCTATCATCAACAAGAAGGTATTGACTACCATGAGACCTTCAGTCTAGTGGCCAAATAACCTACCATTCGTGTGCTTCTGTGCCTAACTCTTCATCACCATTGGCCTATCAAGCTGTTGGATATCTCCAATGCTTTCTTACATGGTACTTTGGAAGAGGACATGTATATGGATCAAGCCCAAGGTTTTATAGATCCTTAGAACCCTTCTCATGTTTGTAAACTCAACAAGGCTCTTTATTGCCTCAAGCAAGCCCCTAGGACATGGTATTCTACATTCTCTAAGTTCTTGCTTGGGCAGGGATTTCTCCTTAGTCATTCAGATTCCTCTTTATTTGTCAAGACTACCTCTACCTCTATCACCATCATCCTTGTATATGTTGATGATATCTTGCTCACTGGGAATGATTCTATTCTCATCAATGCTCTTCTTATTCAAATGCATAAGGTCTTTTCCATAAAAGAACTGGGTCTCATCTCCCATTTCTTAGGCATTTCAGTTCAATCCCATTCTCATGGCTTTTTCCTTTCCCACCAAAAGTATGCTGGTGAACTGTTGCTCAAAGCAAGCATAGTGGATTACCAGCCTAGCTCAACTCCTATGGCTCTCAAACCCCCCTCTGGTACGGCTGATGATTTGCCCTTCTCTCAACTTTCTTTTTATCGTAGCGTAGTTGGTGGTTTATAGTACTTAACTATAACCAGGTCTAACATAGCTTTAGTTGTTAATCAAGCCTGTCAGCATATGTACTCTTCCTCCATTGGTCATCTTGCTGTGGTCAAAAGGATTCTTCGATATGTTAAGGGCACTTTACCGCAAGGTTTGTCTTTCACACTTAGTCATTTTCTTCTTCATGCCTATACTGACTCTAATTGGGCTGGCAACTGTGTGGATCGCCTATCTACATCAGGCTTTTGTGTGTTTCTTGGTCTAGTCTTATTTCCTCGTCTGCTAAAAAGCAAGCTACAGTCTCTAGGTCCTCTACCGAGGCTGAATATAGATCCATGGCTTATATTGTTGCTGAGTTCTATTGGCTTCAACAACTGCTCAAAGAGTTGTCCATCTCTTGCTCTTCTCCACCTATTCTTTGGTGTGATAATGTGTCTGCTATGACTTTGGCTTCAAATCCAGTCTTTCATGCCCGTTCCAAACATATCAAAATCGATTGCCATTTTATTCGCGAAAGGGTTGCTTCTAAACAGATTTCTCTTTCTTATGTTCCTACGGCTGATCAAGTTGCTGACATTTTTACTAAGCCATTGTCTTCTTCTTGGTTTCACTATCTTAAGGACAAACTAAAGGTGCTTCCTAGCCCCATTGGTTTGAGGGGGAATGATAAGAGTATTGAGGAATACTCTCAGCCATCTCAGCTTAAGCCACAACACTCCTAGCTCAAGCCACAAGAGAAGCCATCACAAACAAAATATCTTCCTCAGCTCAAGCTTGTGCAAGATATTAAAGGCAATTTTGATAGATACGACTATGAGAGTAGAGTGAGTTAGTTAGGTTGATTGTAACAAACTCAGTGAGACTTCATTGAGTATAAATATCTATAAGACTTCATGGTATTCTACTAAGAAAGATATTCTTCAATTTCTATTACATTGTAAGAGAATATTTTTAGCGTTTTAAGCCTAAACATGCATTTTTTTAACATGGAATGATACTTTGAGAAAATAAACCCTAATATGCTCTAGGTTTCATTCTTCTCTAAAGTCTGTTTTTGTTTGTTTGTTTGTTTGTTTGTTTGTTTTTCTTCATATAATTATCTCTTTGCAGATGTTGGAGTTGCTGAATCAGAAATCTTCAGTCCAAGGAAAAGTCTGACACCTAACAGCGTCTCCGCTAGTACTCCAAGACAAAGTGAAGAAGTCTATTCCATCTCATTGGAATCCAGCATCATTCTCTAGGTGGCTTCTCCATTTTAATGCATTAAATATTTTGATATTAGCAGGGCCTTATTTTATCTATTTTTTGTACGTGTTTTCCCCCCAGTTTTGAAGTATTCCCCTTGCATGCACTGCAGGAAATTCAGCTTTTAGCGGCGTTTAAAAAGCGCCGCTATAAATGTCAAAAACGCTGCTAATTTTATTTGCGACGCTTAGCACCAAGCGTCGAGGACGCGGCCGTCGCTATAACGCTATGACGTTTTAAAAACGTCGTTATATTAATATAGGCGGCGTTTTTAAAAACGCCGCCAAATGTCTTACTTGATAACATCTTGACGTCATTATGACATTTAGCGACATTTTTTAAACGCCGTCATATCTTTTTTAAAAACTCCGTTAATATTTAAGGTTTAAGTGGCGTTTTTAAAAAAACGTCGTGATATCTCTTTTTTTTTTTAAATTGTGCTAATTTATGTGATTAAACTAAAAAAATACATAATACATATAAACGGAGATTGATAGCAAATGCATTCACATAAATTCACTTTCCAATTCACCAATCACCATTACCCATAAAATAACATATCCACAAATATTACATAACAGTAGGGTGTGAAAATACACCATTAATAATTTAAGAATACTTGGTTACATAATTGCTATCATTTGATCAATCTTCTCTTCATCTGTTAGATTATATCTGTTTTCTTCACCCCCATTCATTAGGAGACCAAGCATGTCATGTTTGGTTTCTTGGCAAGCTCTTCTTTCCTCTATGAGCCGTCTCAGCATGCTAACAATGTTTTCTTGCCTGTGATACATCTCAGTTAGACAAAACATGCATACAGAGATATTTAAAACTGTAAAACATCGCTTCCAAATTTACGCCTTCATGTTAGTTGTTGGTTTGTTTTGAAATGAACCAACCGAGAGCCAAATATCCCTCCTCCTGTTATTAATTTAGACTAAAGCACAAATTTTAAAAATTGATGAGTAAACTGTAACATATCGGATACTTTAGATATCATTAGTTTACTTGACTTAAAAGCAACATGTACTTAAGAAATAAGTTGTTTACTTGGAAACCGCGGTGGTAATTTGTTCCGGGAAAGTTGATAGGCAGAGAAAGGGTTCCCAACACCAGCTTAAAGAATTCAGGCATGAATTCCCCAGACATTGACTCCCATTCAATACTTGCAATTTGGTTAAGCGACGACAAAAATGCCATCTGAACAACAAACAATGTGCAACACATGTACCTTAAAAACAGTTCAACATTGTGAAAAAAGAAAAAGAAAATGACTAAATCAAACACCTCTTTGGTTTTTTGTTGATTGTCAACGAGTGTGTTGTCCCAATTGCTGAGGTGGCACCTCATGAAGTCATCAAGTTTGGGCAAGAGTTGGGACCTGATGATGGGGGGGCACAGGAGAGAAAGCAAAGCAGCTCTGATGTGCCTGTGGGTGGAGCCATGAACAGCAACAAATATATATATGTGGAGCTGAGGTTTGATTATGATAAAATAAAAATAAAAAAGCGACACGACAAACAGAGATAGCTGCCCCATCGCTTACATATTCATAGAAATTAAAGCAACAGGTCACAAATATATATAACAAAAATATCTTTATTCAAATTTAATTTAACTTAGATATGTGGTCGAGTAATTAATGCCAACTACATCCATTATACATCAAAAACTACAAAGATGTTTAGTCATATATATGTCAAAATGATTTGATAAAATCTCGAGACATAAATTTTATATGGCTAGAAATGCATGTGGTAGAACGATTTGGGCATGGAGAATCTTATAAATAACTGCACATAAAGAAAGAAAGAAAGAAAAGGAAACAAAGACTGTAAAAGATATAGTAAACAGAGAAGAGAGTTATTTCAGCAACAAAACTAATTGGCATACACAAGGACAACAATACAAGTATAACCTCTACTCAACTGAACCTATTACAACCATTCAGCCAAATAATCTTCATCTTTTTATTTATTTTTTCTTTTTTTCTTTTTTTGTGTGAAAAGAATGTAGCATTCAAAATCTATTTTTCCTATCATTTTCCTCAAATATCTCATCAAGAAGAACAAAGGGCAGAAATTTAGACTCAAATCAAGGGCATTCTATGCACAGTTTGATACTAGCAGCATCTACCTGCAGGTTCCCTGTCATAGTTTCTTGTACACTATTGCCCCTCTCTACATTGATATTTCTTTATATATATATATATATATATATTCTTTTTAATGATGAGAAACTTCTTTAAGACGGTTAAATTGGATTCATTTCTACATAATACATTTTGAATACCTATAATCATTTGCTTTATCAACAGAACAGAGTTTCGTACCCCGCTTCCGAATAGTCTCAAATGCAATACGAGCAATACGATCAATCTGTCAAGAAATATAGTATCAGTGGGCAACATATATATAGTATCAATGGGCAACAAACAAAATAATAGTATGTGGGAGTCCAAAAGCAGGATTTTGAAATCTGATTATTTGTAGTCCTGCATTTTTTATTTATTTGGTTTCTATTTTATGCTTTAAATTGATATTTATCTGAAAACCCAAAAAAGTTATAATAAATAGAAAAAGGGAAAACCTTTTTTTGGACATGAAGCCAATGATTCTGCTATCTTCCATGTGATATATTCTTTTGTTTGATGGGTGATGTGATTGTCTTCTGAATCGCATGGCCCCTCATACTGTACGCAAATAATCTAGGTGCTGAAATTATTTGAACCTTCTTCTACTCTTACCATGTTCCCTCTATTAGAGCCCACTCAAACTTTCATATACCTGAAACTTTAAATATGATAGATGATAGAAGCAGGAAAGAATAAATTATTGTGTGCTTTTGTTAGAACCTTGGTTAAATATATGTTGTGATTTCAAGAAATTGGTGTGTTACTTACAAGTAAGGAAACTATTGACCAAGTTAGTCCCTGGTTGTTGCAGGTAAGGAATCTTGTGTTGATTCAATCTCTGTAGAAAACAATAACACAACTGCTATTTTTTTCAAGGCATAGAAGTGTAATTAAGGTACAGAGATTCAAGAATTGCTCATATGAAAATTTGATTTTATAATTATTATATTGTATTCAATTTTTCAATAAAAGCACACATCATGTCAAATATCAACAATCTAAGCAATTTAATCAAGCACATGTGGCCTCATTTTTGGGTGCTTTCTTTTGAGAGGAGATAAGGACATGGCGCATGTGGAATGTTTCATTGCCTAGGTGGACCAATTTAAAGGAGAGCTCGTGACAAAGACCATGAGGGTGACCTCATTATCCACTTTCCATTTCCGTTTTGGTTTCAATAACTGGCATCTTCTACAGCCGCTAGAGAGATGGAGAAAAGTAGCCAATGATTCAGTTTGTCACGTGCTGCAATAGTTAAGTGTTATTACTGATAATGGTACATCGAGATGGCCATCTGCAAATGCAATTCAGCTTACGGAAATGAGGAATTAAGTGCTATTCACATTTCAGCTAAATTTTCTACAAACTGCATCCTTTTAAAGGTAAGATCACTGTTGCTTCAGCTTTGAAACTTGTGATCATCTTGAGTTAGCTGGGCTCAATTGTTATGGCATTCCAAGGCAATTTCAAGGGCCGGTTTTATTCTCTACAGGACTACAGGGTTTGAAATGTGAAAACTATGTAATAAAAGCAGCAGAAACCTCAAATTTAGAACAAATTTTCTGCCTAACAAATGAATCCATGATACTAATGGGTATTAATAAATCTGGAATTGACCTTATGGGTATTAATAAATTCGAAAAATCCCAGCACACACAATGTTTGAGCTTTATAATGAGGAATGAAGATATTAACTGACCAATAAAGGGAGAAACATCTACCTCAAGCCTTTAGAAATAGTATACTTGACTGATAATATTGCACAATACATCCCTTCAAACTCTTGATCCCCCACGTTTCTCCTGCAGAAACATTTAAAGTAATTGTGACATGCAAATTCCATGTAACACATACCAACACCCACAAGGAACGCTAAGAACAAAGTCAAAGATAAAGCATAAAAGATCAGAAAGAGAACTTTAATACTCACCCATAAACCATGTGAGAATAAGATCATTACGGATTGTGTTTGAATCTGCTATCGGGTCAAACCGATCCTAAAGTCCAACCATGAAATAAAAGAACTTATTAGTGCTCTTGTGACAATATTTCTTTCATGTTCAAGATAGTGAAACATCAACTAAAATCATGGAAGGCCTAGAAAAACAGTGACTACCAACTGTCCCCAACATTAACTCAGTTGATAAGTGAAAATCTCAATGGCTGAAATCCATAAATTTGATGACAACAAGCAAAATAGATTTACATGGTGCAATAGTAGTTTCAGAAAATGACTCCACTTTAACATATACGAAATAACAGGGAATAAGTACACCATAAAAGAAATTGTTTCAATTTTGATAGCTGGAACCATCCAAAATAAAGTATCCTTGAGCGCCCATCTCCTAGTGCCACTAAATTTGGGTTAGTATTGATGCAGTATGGAAGCAAGAGCTCATTATAATAAGATACATGGCATGCCAAACAACAGTCACTTCTTCAAGAAATGGCTTCTACACATCAATAGGCCATATTTAAAAGAGCTCCAAGTGCACAAAACTAGTAACAAAGTTAATTCATACTTAATCCCTTCAAAGTAATATTGCACCTAAATGCTGGACCTCAAACTTGATTTGCTGAAACCATGGCCCCTGCATGCATCATCTGTGTAGATATATATAAGCTCACAAATGCTGATTACGAAAGAAAAAAATAAATAAAAGAGAAAGAGACAAAACTGAATTGCAGAATTTAGCAAAAAAAACTATAGACAAGACATTAGCACAAGAAAAGATAGAGGCAAGCATCCAGGGAATTGGAGCTACAAAACCAGAAAAGAAATTAAAAGGACTTAAAAGACAATTTGTTGTTTACTATATTTAACAAAAGTCTGAAATAATCCTAGTCTATGTAAAAAACCAAGAATTAATATGCATTTTCATTTCCATTCACTTAAAAGTGTTTTTTAGTCCTAACCACATATCACTTTCTTCAAAAAAATCAGACATACACACCATTAAAGAGTTTGTAGGCATGTTGTAACCAAAGAACAATATGATATGTGCATAAACAGACACCAACACTCACGACAATAACAACAATATGGCAATACCACCACCAAAAAAATGGAAAAAGAAAAAAGGCAAAATTTTGATGCACATATAAACAAACAGACAGATACATGGCTTTTGAAGACTTTCATAGTTTGATAATATTCTATATTTTGTGCCTACTAAGTATTACACATGTAAATCTAAAGAATGGCTCTTTTGTTGTGTAGTTAATATTGTAGGCACGCTTATTTATTAAGTAGGTAGTAAATGTTTACTAGCAGAAAACACTACCTTAAAGGTTTCTATAGCATTGGCAGCAACATTGAAATTTGGAAGTTGTATATAGTCAAAAAACTTCTTCATATTTTCTGATTTTAAAACATACCCCTGAGAAGAAAACCAAACAAATCAAAAAAATTACCATATAAAGATTAAAAGAGAAACAAGATATAGAATTAAAGCATCAGGAACAAGAAATTCAGAAATTAACTAGAAATGCCTCCTTTCCATTTCATCAGTAAATTCTTATTGAATGAATCTGTGAGACCTAACTCAAGAACAACAATACAGCAGAATAGGTAAAATTGGTGTTCCTGAATTTTCTTATCTTTCTCATCCTACAAATAGAATTGCTTAAGCAAATAATAAAAATTTCAAGCAGAAATTGTTGTGGATGACATAAATGGACATAAAACACAAAATATCTGGGAAATATTATTTTTATCACATTAATTATGGTGACCTAAAGATAATAAAATTTAACAGGAAAAGAACAAGAAGATAATTTACCAATACATGACAATTTCATTGCAATTCATTTAACATACTAATTCATTCCCTCCCTTTCCTAAAAAAAAAAAAAATTCATTAACCTAAAATAGACGTTCAGAAGTTTTACCCCCACTAACCACATAACCTTCCTCCACATAACCTAAAAATAAAAATTCATTAACCTAAAAAATTCATTGGATTTATAATCATTTGATCAGGTAATCAAATATATAGAAATGGAGCAATACATGAAAAGTGGTGAAAGAAAAAAGGGTTTGCATCAATCTATGTTTGCAAAAGAATAATTGAACACAAGAAATAGTGGAAACCAATTTATGGAAAATGGCAGAAAAACCCAAATGCACAAACGATAGGCCAGACAGATCATAAGCAAGGTAAGGAAGGAGGGAATCAAAGAAGACTCACCAGAGTGGAAATCAGGTGTCTGCAGTGCACAAAACCCGTTGTGAGGAAGAGAGACATTGCTGCTGTAAAGACTGACACAGTATGGTTGTGATGGTGGTTCTGTGACTCTGTACACAAACGCAATAGAGATTAGCCTCAATAGACTAACCCTAGAATTGCATACAAAGCACAAACGCAAACATCACCACGAACGAGTCAGAAATAGAGTCTGCTTAAGGATGTTAATATGCGCATAGGGACTAAAACTTGCAGATCTGAACGAAAGCAATCAAATCCAGAGAAGAGTGTTCGATCGCGATCAATAAATTAAAAATCAATCAATCGAGATTTGCCTAAAAATCGATCAATAGAATAAAAATCGATCACGATCAATAGACATAAATTAGTATATATATATATATATTTCAAACAAATTTGAGATCGTAGATCTAAGTTTGTTTATAAACAAAATAAAAAAATCAGAGAACGGCTCACAAAATTAATCTTCAAATCGGACTGATCGAGAGCTTTGAGCCAAGATGGAGAGAACCAGATCGTGAATCGGAGACTACGATGCTCGATCTAGTGACCTTTCACCATAAGAAAGAGGAGTGATGAAGAGACAGAAAACCTAGATCTATCGCGGTACTGAGAGAAATAGAAGAGTGAAAAATGCGTGAGTCTTAAAAAGGGAAAATATTTTCGTACACCAAACCACGCGTGTTTTTTAAAATGAGTTATTTACAAAAATATTTTAAAAACCATTAAAACGATGTTTTTAAAAAAAATGCCATATCAAAAGCGTGGTTATAGGCTAATTTTCTTGTAGTGATGCTTGACCTTTATAGGCCATGTTTCCAGTGAGTGTCTGAGAAGTGTCAAAGTTGTGACATTTAAATTCAAATTATGGACACATTATATGAGAAGTGTCTATGTTTTTGTTTGTTTCTGATAAGCACTATCAGTGGTATGCCGTATGCCCAACACAAACACAGCTCCTCTGTGGAAGTGTCCAGGCTACTCGGTGAATTTCCCAAAAAATGAAAGAAAAATAGAATTTTTCTTTTTCGTTTCAATAGTGTGAACTTATTTTCTGTCTCCAAGTTGCTATCTTGTGCTTTGGAAATAAGGGTCATGGGAGAATGCTAGGACCAATTTTCTTGGATGATCTATCTGTCTAGGGATTGACTCTTATTTTTTCTTAGGCTAGGTGACCCCATATATAATTCTGTAATCTGCAATTGATATGGTGTACAAGATTGATTAGGTTTTGTTTGGCAGGTTTATCCAGACTTATGGAACTCACATAATTGTAGGGATGGCGGTTGGGGGTCAAGAGTTAATTTGTCTGTACTGAAGATGTCTAACAGATTCTCCATCATGTTTGCATTTGCACATACAATACCAACTAACATGCACCTGTCTTCTTTTTATCAAGTTATCAATTGTAAAGATTTTTCCATGCTTAACACAACAAACAAAGAAGACCACCAAAGACGGAGGGAGGAAAGAGAACCCCTAAAACCCACCAAGGAGACTTAAAAAGACTCCACACTGAATATCCAAAGGAGGCTCTCAACCAATGCACCGAATAACTGCCGTCCTCAGTACAGACATGAAGCTTCTTAGAAGTGTCCATGCTTTTTAGATACTTACCATTGATAGTTTGATTAGGTGGTGGCAAGTTTATGTTGTGCATGTGCAAGCCAAAGTTGTGAATAACGTCATGTACCGGTACCAGCCAAAATATACCGTCGTAACAAAATACTGGTAACATATATTGATTACTTCTGACTAAATTTTCAGCTTGTGTCACACTATTCTAGTTGTATCGGGAAAATTCGTGCATTATTATCATTTTATTTGGCATTTTGTTTATTTAATTATTATAATTTTTTTCGCTTTTCAGATTTAATATAATTTCATGGTGAACATCGTCATTGTTTAGTATAGCAGTAACGCCGGCCGCGGCTATATAAAAATTAATTTAATTTAACTTTTAATATTTTTGTCTAAAATGGTAATTTGATCAAGGGATAGAACTGTAATTAAAAAAAAAAAATCATGAATTGTGCATAGGGGTCTAAGGCTTTGTTTAAGAATAATTTTTTTAGTTCGGTTTTTTTTTTTTTTTGTGATTATTTTAGGTTTCGTTTGGCAACTTAATATTTTAACGTAAAAGTCATTAAAAAAATATCAAAAAACTGACAACTTATGTTAAAAAGTCTAATTTTTTGCACATCATTTCGTAAAAAGTTAAAAAATCATTACAAATATATTAATTTTTTTACCTCTTAGTTTAGTCAAAAAATTATTAAAATAGCATATTTTCAAACCAGACCTCAATTTAGCTTCTTTTTTTTTTGGAGGGATGAATTTTTGACTTTTTTTTATAGTTTTGTGAGAGAAAAAGTAAAATGATTGTAATTTGGATGTTATATTTTGTTTTATTAATTTTTTAATATATTTTGTGTTTTAGCGACTAAATTAGTCCAAATTATCTTGCCAAACAGGATCTAAGTGTGAAAATAAAAGTTTTCAACCACCTCTCTTGCTACAAATGTATCACTTCTCTAACCACCAACACCACTCTAGCCGCCCCTCCCTCTTCCACCACCAACCCCCATCACTAGGCCGCCATCCCCTTTCACCTCCCAACCACTATAACAAATTAAATTTGGCGATTAAAAAAAATTTACCTCGACTAATCTTGTGAAATTGGCGACTAAAAATTATATTAGTTGGCAAAAGTACAATATTTAACTACCAATTTTTTTTAGTCAGGGTATATTAATTATTTGCGACTAAAAAAAAATTAGTTGCTAAAAATGCCACAATTAGTGACTAAAAAAAATTTTAGTCGTTGTATAGTTAGTTTTAATTACAAAAATTATTTAGTCACTAAATGAAAACAAAAAATTGTTTTTTTATCTTTGCCAAAAATTTATTTTCAGCGACCAAAAAATATTTTAGTCGTTATATAGTTAGTTTTGGCTACTAAAATTATTTAGTCATCGAATAAAAAACAAAAATTCATTTTTTTATCTTTGGCGACCAAAAGTTTGGTTATCAAAAATTTATTTTCAGCGACTAAAAAATATTTTAATCGCTGTATAGTTAGTTTTGACTACTAAAATTATGTAGTCACTGAATGAAAAATAAAAATTTAATTTTTTTCTTTAGCATCCAAAAGTTTGGTCGCCAAAAATTTATATTCAGCAATTAAAAAAATGTTTAATCACCAAACAACTAAAATATTTAGAGGAAAACATTTCAAATTTTAAAAAGATTTGTAAAATTAATTGACGATCAAAATATTTAGTCACGATTGGTATAAAATGCCCAATATATATTTTGCACATACATATACGTATTCGCACATCCAATTCCTTCCCTCTGTTAGTGTGTGTGTTGGGAGAGCAACCTGTTTGGTGCAGCTTAAAAGCTGCTTATTTCAGCTTTCAGCTTAATTTAAATTATTTTGATGTGTTTGATTCAGCTTATAGTTTATAGCTTTTTGGAAGTCAGAAATCAACTTATTCTTTGAGTAGGGCAGGAGATACTTAATTTATAAAGCATTTTCCCACGACCCTACCAAACAGGCCAAAGGTTCAATTTTTTCTTTCATAAACCACACTTACTTACTAGAGTTAAAGTCACACAAATCATAAAAACAACACTCAAACCTCTTCTTTCACCACCGCTGGAGTATCAGCAGCAGGAACAACGATATAGCCCATCTTTTTCGGGTTCACATCGTCGGCACCATCAAAATCATCATCTGAATCACAGAATTCGAAGCTGTTGGGATCGGCGAAAAGAGACTAGATCAAGTAAAGAGTTCCGGCAGTGATGGCGCCACAAGCGACGCCTAATAATAGAGATCCAACGTCCTTGAGAATGCCCTTGGTGCGATCACGTAATGAGGCGTGAAAATCGAGAGGTAGGGATCAAATTTCTTCATCGATTTTGGATTGATGGACCAAGTGAAAGCGGTGAGAGGAAAGGAATGTGAGTTGGGGATAGAAATCTCTGGATTTTGTGAAGAAAAAGGTGAGGGATGGGCCGGTGGATGTGGGGTTTCGGGGAGAGAAATTAGGGTTTTGATGGAGGAAGGGGATGGAGGTGGAGGTGGTGGTGAAAAAGATTAGGGTTTTGTAGCGGTGAAAGTGGCGACCTGGCCTTGCGTTGGCTGAGATTACGAGGAGAGCTAGCGAAATTGATAATCGAAGGAAGAGGAGATGATGACTCAAAATTGCCATTAGAGATCTGTGAGGTAAATTTTTTTGAGAATGGGAGTCTCTCAATGAATGTAGTGACTAGGATTGAACTGTTGTTAACCATTATCTACAAACTTTTGTAGATAATGTGTTTGTCAAATTGCCAACAAGAGTGTTCTTTGTCAAGTAGG